TCCAGAGAAAGGGTTACTTCTAGGGATGAGGAAGAGAGAGAAAGGAGAGAGACAGACAGACAGACAGACATAGAGAGATGAGAGAGACACAGAGAGGCAGAGACAGAGACAGAAACAAAGACAGAGACACAGAGAGTGAGAAACAGGGAGAGACCACTGCTGCATGTTTACCCAAACCTGTAGCTCAAATTTTTATACTTCTATAGTGTTTATTTATTTCAGTCTTCGAAGTCTAATGCCAAGAGGAATGCGTTACTGAAAACACTTGTGTGTATGCATACTGTGTGTTGGGGTTTTATTTTATTAGTTTCATCATATAATCCAGAAAGAGGTAAATATGTTCTGCTTTCTAACCCAGACAGAACGTTTACAATTCCTGGTTGGCAAGCCTTGCTGCACTGTTTGTTTCTGTCCCTGTGGGAAACATACAAAGTAGCCAGTAAAAAGAGATTTTTATTTAGATGAATTCTAAATGAGCCTCTGTTCTTCAATTATTGCTTAGAGTGGAAAACTTCTTTACACTAGAAAATTTCATCAGTAATTTCTTGAGTTTGGTCACCTCACAATGCTTAGTTTCTGGTAAATGATGAATATTTAAACATGGGCTTATAAAATGTATATGTTTTTAATAATTACCAAAAAGGAATTAAGTGATTCAAAGGTGGGAAAGGGAGAGGTACTGACATTGCCAGACATGCAATCATTGGTGTTTAATCAACTCAGAAGCTTCTGCTTCTCCATATTTGTTGCCAACTCTGTAACTTTTATTAGTGCTGCTATTATAAGCAAACCATTGCACAAAAGCATATAATAGGGACAGCCAGTGTGATACAAACCACAGTTTAAATGAAGCAGTAATGACGGTGGAACAGGCATTTGCTGAGACTTAATAGCCATTGGGGCAAGACGAAGGTCCAAGATATTGTCGAAAGGCATTTGTTTTTTCAGTCCTAAATTCTCTATGGCAGTGATTGCTAGTACATGAGTAGGTTACTGTACAGAAGAGGAACTTAATTTTAACATAAGAATAATATAAGCTATTTTGTAAAGAACACAACTGAAGGCATTCCACTTTGAAAGTGGAATCAGTATTATTACTCTGCAAATAATTGTTTCTTATGAATGAAATACTCACCCACAATATATGGTTAACGTACAACGTAAGACTAGCATGTCTTTGATGTCAACCCAGTTGTTCATGACCCAGAAACCCACTTCTTTGCACTCCTTGGAGCTCCAAAGCATTTTATAAGTGAAAAAGATGCTCTTTTCTTTTCCATTTGAAAAGGGTATGAGAAATTTTGCTTTTGGAGGGTAGTCTTAAAATAAAGAACAGATTGATCTATGAGGTGCAGTCCTTATAGGTTGGTTACTTGCCTCCCGTCTGATTTGCTTAGGCTTTAGGCTGTGTCACTCTGCAAGGCTGAGTTAGCTAATAGAGGCGCAAGCACATCAGGTTGGTCTCCATAGATACCACTCCCTTCTCAGGCAACTTCATGGGCAATTCAATAATTTAAAAAATTAAGTCTTGTGTAAGGTGCTATCATATGGGTAGTATATAGGGTTAAGGAGTCATCACACACCAGTAGATGTGTGAATTTAACATACATTTGTTTGGTTGGTCAGCTAGTATCTACTGGGCCCAAGTGCATAATTCTAAGTGCTTTGGGTGTTGCAAATGTATATTCCTTAATCTATAGTGACGGCAAATCTTTTAGGGACAAGTGCCCAGACTGCAACCCAAGACTCACTTATTTATTGCAAAGTGCCAGCATTGCAATTAAATTCGAATATTGAGGTTTTAGTTTACAAAAAAAAATTACACATTAACATCTTTTGTCTTAAAAGGAAAACAGCACAAGTGCAGTAAGTTCACCGCCACTAGCTATGCCTTCCATTTTAGTACCATCAAGTTGGGGAGAAAAATACAGTAATGTATCACTTAACATTACTGAGTGACAAGTATATGCTCAGGGAGACATGTCAGTAGGCAATTTCGTCATTGTGCAAACATTATAGAATGTATTTATTCAGACTGAAGCAGCTACGATGCAACTAGGCAATAATGTCTTATGATATACATCTGTTGTTGCCTAAAACACCATTATGTGACTCATGATTGTAAAATACAGAAACAAAAAAGCCCATAATCTAAAACTTTAAAAAATATATTTCAAGTATGACTTTACATCAGACTTACTGAATCAGAACCCCTGAGATGGATCATAGGTGTTTCCGAAGCTCCGCCAAAGCCTGGTGGCTTGTGAACCACTGGAACCAACAGTAAACATTGGGAATGAATGGAACCTGTGAAGAATTCAACTAGAAAGTTCCCTCCAAGAAACAATCTTCTCCACATTCTACTTCCTACAGTTCAAGTCCTGTATGTTACGTAATAAGAAATTCGCATAATCCTGAATGTAGAATCTAGTAAGCACAAAGTTTTCTACCTAGAGCTGACATAGAGGTGGAGTTCTCACACAATTTGTTTACCAAACATGACTTCAAATGCAAAAAAAATTATTTCCTTCCATTTTTTGTTGAACTCAGAGATTAATGGCAGCTTCTTATATAAAGTTTTGGGTGCATGAGTATACACCTAAGTATGTAATTACAGTCTTGACCCAAAAAAAATCATTAGTAGAATTTTTCCTCTGTCAGTGAGGATGATAAGAAAATGAGAGCAAAATCATCAACCGCACACAAGATTTTATGAGCAACATTTTCCAAATATAATGAAACGGTTCTCAAACATACAAATAAAAATCTAGCTTTCAATTAGGATGGACATGCCAGCAAAGAAGAGAACATCAGAAAAAATGGCATCTTTAAAAGGATTTCTTCAAATAAATGGAGTTACTTACCCTAAGAGGTAGAGAGCAGGAAAACAATCAAAGCTATAACAATTCTAGGTCTATAAAGATTGAAGTCTGCGCCCTGTCTTTATGATGTATGTAAAATAGGATTCACTAAAGGGAGAAAAAAATTAGCCATAGAGAAAAAAATGAACCTTGTAAAAATATTTGAACAAAATGATTACAATCCAAGTTGTGTTGTAGATGTTGAAGTGTTGATAAATGTCTAAAAAATGCTCTCTGAAATGAAGACAAAAAGCTCTGAACTATAGCAGTTTCCATTTTGCGTGGTGTCAGTGCTTCCACCATGGCTGATTTCAGGCCACCAACATCAGTGAAATGCAAATCTGGGAGAGATACTCAGTAGCACACCACTGTATAGTGTTTCCCCTAGAGATGCAATAGACATGAATACCATAAAAAGCATGGTTACTAGTGAAATATAATGCAAGAGCAAGTACTGAGCTTTGAGTATATATTACTTTCCGTGAAATATAATACTTAAGTCTACACTGATATAATTAAAAGTTTAATAACTCAAGTCCACATTTATATAACTTAAGGTTTAATGATACTTTTGTTTAAGAGTTGGCTTCAGAATTTCTGAAATTTTAGTAGTTGGCCCTCCAGCACCAGTCTGGTTTTTTTTTTAATTTAAGAATAAAAGAAGGAAAACATATTAACAAACAGACCTTCACTTACAAAACAGCATAAAAACAATACACGCAATACAGAGTTACAGAAAAAGTGGCAGGAAATTAACAATGGTTGTTGTATTACATATTGAAATCTTCAAAGTGGTATCTCAGGAAAACAAATAGAGATGTGCAAGACTGATCAAATAATTAATCATTAACTGTTCTTTTCAGTAAAGTGAAAGAAGTCAGTAGTACAGCTATGTTAGCTATCCTGTACATACATACATACATACATAATTTCCGGCGCCATTCTGAGCCCAGCTACAGCGCAGCACTGATAGAGCTAATCCTTCTTCAATGATCAGAGACTACAGAAACTGAAGTTCTCAAGGCAGCTTTCCCGAGTCACTCCTACATGGTTTCTCTGTGTGTATGTGTGTGTGTATGTGTGTGTGTGGTGTGTGTGTGTGTGTCTGGAATAACAAAAGAACCAATATAGGAACCATTAACAAAGACCTTCTGTGGAAAAGCTCCATCAGCAACGCTGTATGCCGTAGGTCAGAGATTCTAAACTGGGGTCATTTTGCCCCCCAGGACATTTGGCAATAACCAGGGGCATTTTCACAACTGCAGCATCTAGAAGAAAGAGGCCAGAGGTGCTGCTGAGCATCCTCCTGTGCAAAGGATAGACTCCTGGCTAACCTAAAATGTTAATAATGCCAAGGCTAAGAACCTGCTCGAGTCTTCTGTATAAAGTCAAATCTTTTCATTTCTTTAAAACTAGGTACAAGTCTCTCTCCTAAAATATTTTCCTCTATCAGATAACAACAATTCTACAATCTACTTTGTTTCCCCTTTGGTCTTCATGAGTAGTAGTTATTTTAATCTTCTTATTCTGTTTTTAAGACCACCATTTTCTGGTACTTTTTTTATTTTAGCATTGTACACGAGTCTTCCATTAACAAGACAAATTACCTTTAGAAATAGGAAGTGGATAGGTGGATGGATGGTTGAATAGATAGATGGAAGGCACACAGCAAGATAAAGAGAAAAAGGAGAAAGAAGGAGAAAATATTTTGCTTTAGAAATGGAAAATACCAAAAACAATTGGAGGTCAAGGTGCATGCATTTTCCTATGAGTGACTCAAGTTACTTTTCTTTATAGCAGGCTGGTATTCCATTATGTGTAAATACCATATTTTCTTTATCCATTCATCGATTGATGGACATATAAAGAGCAAAATGAAAGATGGATATTAGGAAATAGGGAGATAGAGCTTTCTCAAATGGGAAGGAGATCAAGAGGTGAAGTGGGGAGGGGCAGAGAGGGGACGAGAAAGGAATGAAGATGTGTTCTGTATATGGGCCAGCTCCTCACAAGGAAGGTGAACACTGTGTAATGCAAACATGCACAGCACTAATAAAAGATAGAAACAATTGGGTGGCTCCCAGTAGAACTTTTAAAAACTTTACAGGACATGCATTTAATACAAATTTTTGCTTTCAGAGGAAAAATGATCCCTATGCTCTTGCATCGCTGGTGTCCTTTGAAGTTAAGAAGATGCCTTATAGAGACCAGCCAGCAAAACTCCCAGAAGGAGGCATAGCAGTGAGTATCTCTTTAAAATACAGGAAGATAAATGGGATATAAATGAAGTATTTTTTTAACCATTATTGAACATGTACTTCACTTCACTGTTTACATTGTCTCAGAAAAATTTTCCCATTTTCATATCTCTTTTATTTCAATCTGGCAATTTCCTAGTGACTTTTGACCTAGCTTTTAAACTTTTGATGTAGTATCTAGCTAAAAAAATATGGATTTTAAGAGTAAATAAAATCCAAAAGGTACAATAGGTATTGTAAAGGGAAAAACTCTGCTTTTCCAATCGTATGTGAAGTTATTAGAAACCTCTGGAAAATAATATTAAGAATATTAAGAAGGACCTTCCTTTCTTGGTCATTCCATGATATTTATGACCCCAACTGGAACTCTCAGTCTTTGTTATTCAGTTTGTGGTTTGCAAAAAACTAGCATCTTCACTATCACCTGGGAGAGGATTAGAAACACAGAAACAGGCCTCATTCCAGACCAGCTGAGTCCAAATCTGCCTTAGATTTGGACTCAGCTGGTCTGGAATGAGGCCTGTTTATCAGAATCACCAGATTTATCAAAATCACCAGAGCATCCATATGCACAGTCACGTTTGAGAAGCATTACTTCATAGGTAGTGTATGAACTGATCCTGTTGTCTTCTCTGTGCAACCTAGGTCTTCAAACTTCATTATAATAATCTTTGTAGCTTAACCTACTTTCAGAAATTTGAAAGTAATCTACTGACCAGTGATTCTCAGCTTTGAGCACACAACAAAATCATCACTCATGCAAACATATTAAAATATATATATGCTAAGAAGACCTCACCCGATGTATCTGAAATTAGAGGCCCTATCGCTGTGCTTTAAAAGCCTTACAAGTGCAGATCTGGTATAGAAGCCAGGTTGTCTTGGGCATCACCTGGGAGACACCCACAACTGAAAAGTGTAGTGCTTTATTTGGGGTCATAGTTCATGGAGGGTTCAGTCCATAGTCTGCTGGCTCTGAGACAAGAAGGGCATTGTAGAAGGGCCTGGTGGAGGAGAGCTGTTCAACCTATGGCAGCCAGGAACTAGAGAGAGAAGATAGAAGTGAAGATTAAGTATAGTTTTCCAGGTTCTGTTTCCAGTAACCCACCTCCAAACAGGCCCCATCGCTTAACAACACGTTCTTACTATGAATTCATCTGTGTATTAAACCACTAATTTGTGTAGCACACCCATCATCCAATCACCTTTCAAAAGCCACACCTCTGATCATGAGAATTTGGGGCACATGTTAGATCTAAACTATACCAGACTGTGAAGCATATCTGCTTGATAGAATTGTTAAGAAGATTAATAAAGTTATGTACATAAAATGCTATTGCACCTGGAAGAACCTCAATAAATTTCAATAGTTTCTTAAATGTCTCACCTTCTCTGGCTACATCCAGCTAGTTCACATTGGAAACGACAATTAAGATTTGCACAGTCAGTGTATTCTAAAGCCTGCATGGCCACATCTTTCTCCATTTAGATCACTGTCTTTTTCTCACGAGCTGTCCTCTGTAGATTGTATTTATGATCAGCCCAGAAAACAGAGGCTTTGGGCTTTTAATATGGAATATTCATCCGAAGAGGTTCAAAGGCTTGTTGCTCTAAGAGAGACAAATCCAGGCCCTTTGGTTTTCTCTGAGCACATGTTTCATAACAGAAACACATGTTACAGTTGATTCCACGAACAGGAACAAGACTGCCTCTTTCTGTGCTGGCCACAGGTGACGGCCTGCTGTTCTCAACTATCTCAAAAGAACCACAAAATGCTCAAATGCTTGCTTCCTCCACCTGCACTGCCCATTGCCTTACTGGAAAAAAAGACCTGTTATCTCATGTAGATGATTTACCACGCCATGCATGTCAAGATTATTGGAAAAACATTTAGGAATGGAAGTGTTTTCAAGTCTCCCAATATTTAATTGGAGAAGGTATTGCCAGCAGAAAGTTAATCTGTGTAATACAAGGAAACAGTCCTCCTTGTGGCTTGATTTGATAGAAAAACTCTGGTTGGAGCAGGCAAAGATTTTTATAGCAAGTTCTTCTCAAAGGCTGTGTTATTTTTCCCTCAAAGGATGCTAGCACCAGGGAATGGTTGTAAGGCCATAGAATCAGTTGGAAAAGGTAGTCTGATGGTTATCAAGAGTTCCAAACGGCCACACAGGAAAGTCTTCATAATGAGACAAAATAATATGCACTTGTTTTCCTAGACTCCTTTGTGAGATGGTTAATTTGCTGGTGCTTCCTTCTCAACATGGTCATAATTCAGCCATCACTTGAGACCCAAGTAAGGTTCACACATGGAAAAGCAGTTTCCACCTTATACTTGCACAGCATCTGTGTTTATAACAAATGAACTCCTGTGACATGACATTTGTCCTGTTCGGAGGTGAAACAAAAGCTGCATGATTCAGAGGGATATGAATGAACACTGGATCATGGCAGCACAACAAAGAAGGAATGATCCAACAATTTGAACAATTTTTGGCTCAGCAGTGAACCTTGGCATTTGCATGCCATGCAGCTATTATCTATCTCTGTATTTTATATTTGGAAGAAAGTAACACTGCCTAATTTAATTCCAAAGGTGGTTATCATAAAATATTTCATGGAATATTTTAAAAGCCATATGTAAACTGTAAATCCACTTGAGTTGCAGAATTGTAGCAAAATTTTGACACCTGAAAATGGAATTCTTATATGAAACAATGGCTTGGAATGCAGATTTATTGAAGGGACTGCTTGTCTCAGAAGAACTCTTTAAATGTTATTAATGTGTATTCAGCTGATGCACTGTGTGCTGTTATTTTGTTCTAAATGGCACTACAGGTAGGGTATCTTGGTACAATTACTTAAACATTCTTCTGACCCCACCGAAGTATGTTTACAGAAGTTTTTGTGATACATAAATATAGATGTCAACATTAATTACAGTTGCGAAGGGAAGGACTCTTTTTCCCTCTACCTTGGTAGTTTTTGTCAAAATACACAAAAACGTATCATAAATGCTAATGATAAAATGTAGAAATATTAAAAGTTTATTTATGACATTTCAACCATAATAAAGAATAACAAGATTTATGACACAATGAAGGTAAAATTAGATGTTCCCTAATTTTAAGACCACTTTTAAAAAATCCAAACTGCTTACAATTCAAGAATTTCACTCCCTGAGATTGTAGGTAATGGTAATAAATGAGTTTTTTTATGCTATTTGTTTCAATAGGTACAAATTTTTGCTAAACAAAAGTTGTATTAAATCATTGTTGATTCATTGACATGGAAATGCATTTTCGCCTAAATTTTAAGTACTCCAGTTACTCAATATTAATCTTCTTTTTTAAAGAAGTTGAAATACTGAGTCATAAGCTGTTGTTCTGAAAAGAAGCCTTTAATACCACATGCATTCCATCTTTTGCCTTGGGACACTCTTTTGATGAAAGAATTTTATAATGAAGGATTTAGTAATTCTGCTAATCTCATCATTATGTGAAATTATACAAAATACTATGGAGCTGTGCAGTCTAGAATGGTAACTGCTAGTCATATGTAAACATTTCAGTTCTGAAATGTAGCCAATGGAACTAAAGAACTGAACTTAGACTTTAATTTTATTTTAACTCATTGCAATGAAAACGGAAATGCTGAAGCACATAAAATGTTCCATTAAACATAGCTTTATTGATTTGATACAACTACATTTTGCTTTTAGCATTGAAATTTTAGCAGTTATTATATGTTGCCATTTCAGAGTGCACACTGAATTTTAGAGATAGCAAAACAATATATAAAATAGTTTTAAATTGTTATATCAAATTATAAATATTTTATATGGATTACCCACCAAAATAGGTTTATCATTAATAGATAATAGTTGCTATTTAGTGTTAAGTAAATTATACTATTAAATTTAGTGTGTTTACTGTTACTCTAGTAACAAAAAGCCTAAATAACTATAGAAAGACACCAGAGCAAAAGAAGTTCTCTGCACTTGGACCCATTTTAGATTGCAATTGCAGCACACAGAATGAATCAGCAACTCACAGGTGTCCTGAAAGTGGAGATCAAGAAAAACCTAACCGAGCACAGGGGAGAGATATTTTGAGATGCGTATCTTTAAAGACGCTGCATCCCTTCTCCCTAGGGAATTGCATAGGCTGACTTGCAAGAACTCTGTATGACATGCGTGGTCCTAACATTTTAAAGTACTCAGAGAAGTGGATGGCGCTTTTGGAAATGAATCTAATGTTAGCCTAAGCAGACCGGCAACTGCGTTGATAATGAGAATTTCAGACTCGGCACAGAACAAAGAATTTCAGATCTGTGGATCCCTGTGTAGTGACCACCTCCTCACAGACTGTTTCAAGGCCTTGCTGCCAAAATCTCTGGCAGCAAATATGAACAAAAACCAAGTAGGCTTTGTAACTGTCTCTATAAAGTTGTTCCTGGTTTCAAGGGACCATGTTAAGTATATACTGTTAATTTCATGTCTTATTTAATTGTACTTTTTTATAGTTATTGCAAAAAAAAAAATCTCCCACTATCATTATTAGCTCTTTGTGAGTGGCTGTCTTGGCCTGTTTCTAGAGATAGACCAGACCTGTAGACAGTGCATCAAATCTGCAGGAAGCAAGTGGCAAAGGTGTTAGGCAGAGGACTCCGTGAGCATCCACTCACAGGTGTCCTGAAAGTGGAAATCCATTCCACTTTCTCCTGAAAGTGGAGATTCCATTCCATTTCCTATGTATTAAATTAGTAGCAATGGACGTGTCTGTGCCCCTTATTTCAACTCCTCTAGAAATTTTTTTAAATTCACAAAACCAAGATTCTTTTTCAAGTTTAAAATGAAATAATAGAAGATGACTTAAGATTTGAATTAGGTAAATCAGGAGAGTAAAGGTTCAGAAGTATCCATTGCTCATTTTACCTGAATTTCTTGTTAGAAAAATTTAACAAGTTGACACAGGCACAGAATATAGATTAAAAGTGCGTGGTTTCTTTGATAGACTTAGAAAGGAGGAGGAGAAGGAAACCTCTTATTAAAAAAAAAAAGCTCACACTTTCCATGGCTCCAGATTTCTCTCTCCTGGGTCATTATATCTGGCCTGTAAGTAAGTAATCACTATTGTCCCTTCCAGTTCCAAAGTTCTGAAATTCTCATTACCAAAACCGTCAGTCTACTTCCAGCAAAGTTAGGCTGATTTTGAAATACTACCTCATACCCTTTCTCTGATTAGCTAGAATGTTAGGACTGAGCAGTGATGTCATGAGGTGTAATTAACTAAGGGAAAAGGATATGCAGATAATAACCAGGTCCTAATTTGCTCCTGTAGTCATAAACATGCAAAGGATCAATTTAGATCAAACTACTTAGTCTATACAAACCTGATGACATTGCAACTACTGTGAGTCCTTGAAATAAAATTCTTTGATATGTGAATAATGCATCTCTCAATGTTCAGCTGCGGCAAGCAGGTGTAATTCCATCGTGGGAATGTCATACTTCTTACTGATATGTCAGATGAAATAGAGTTAATGTTGGCAAAGAGCAGTGATGAAGGCAAAAGGAGAAAGGATAATGGTGAGGAGGTTAAACCCGCTCACTCCTGCCATGGTGGGGTGACCACAAGGCTCCCTACTCTGCTGATCCCTTTGTTTATTCTAGATAGAAATGATAGTTGTGGCTGGAGAATCTAGTGAATGTTGTGTTACACGGAGAAAGTTGACTAAGATAGGGTGAGAAGGAATAAAAACCAGGGCAAGCCCAGAAGAACATCAGCAAAGCGCTCAAATCTAGTTAAGAAGGCAGAGGGGGAGAGTGGGGAGCACGGTTAAAGCCCAACACTAGAGTTCAGGTGATTTCCTGCTAGGACAATTTCCAGAGGTAGCAGCATTAGTCATGATTTCATTCTGTCCTGAAGGGATGGTCTCCAGAATTATGGTCTAGAGTTCTTGAGCATGTTCCAGTATCAAAAGGGGATTGTTTTAAATACACTTAAAACATGAAGCACATCTATCAATTTAATGGAAACAATGCTTGCTACTCTGTTAAACTAGATATGCCTGTATTGGTAAGTAATGTTTGGGTACAAGAACAGATCTTTTTCCCCTTTTGTTTGACAACAAATTTTAGCAACATGGCTGCAACTCCCCTTGATTTTGCATGGAGGTCTGCAGCTTTTATGCACAAGCTCCTGACATACAAGTAATAGAAGTGCTCCTTCTGCTAACCTGGGGTGGGTGGGGAGGTTCTTAGACCTGAGCTTACTGTCCAGGTGGGGAGATCTCATTTTCCACCAGGTGCCTTTGCAATAGTGGGCAATGAAGTGGATTCCCATGTCCAGAACCTCAGTTCAATTCTGCACCTAAAAGGTAGGTTTAGGATTGAAGGCTGCTAACATAACAGGACAGTGTTCACTTTGTGCACGACAGTGTCAATCTAAACAACAATCAGAGAGCGATTCCGCAAGGAGTAGTGATACTTGCTTGGGAGTAGAACAACACTGCAATGGGAATACACATGCTATAGTAAGCCACGCATTTTTTAAAAGGAGTTGAGGCAGGGGAAATTTTTGGGCAACATGAGAAAGATTCCACAAGCTGTCTTGAAACAATAATCATTAGCCACACAGATTAATAACAAGAGAGTTGCTCTTCTAAAACTGAATAGACAGCTGCTAGGCAGACAACTTGCAGAAGCATTTTGTGTACAAGGTGCTTGTGGCCTTTGTGCAAGGTTGTGGTCCTGGCAGATTCTCTAATTCTAACTATTAGGCAATCATGTAACAGAACCTTTCCTTTCTTCCTTTTTCCCTTTCTTCCCTCCTTCCTTCCTTCCCTCCTTCCTTCCTTCCTTCTTTCCATCCTTCCTTCCTCCCTCCCTTCCTTCCTTCCTTCCTTTCTTTTCTTTTCATCTTTCCTTCCTTCCCTCCTTATTTCTTCTTTCTTTCTTCTGTTCTTTCCTCCTGTCTTTATTTGTTTGTTAGGATTCACACAAGTGACTTTATTTCCATCTAGATGATTTTCACAGCAGTTACTTCCATAAAGTACAAGACAGCTAGCTGCACATTCTGAGCTATCCTTATGGATTGGATAGGATACAGGATGCAAGAATAAAGAAACTGGCACTGACATTAATTAGTGGTATGAATTGGTGTCTCTGGGACTCAATTTTCTCACCTATGAGATGAAAGCATTCATTTAGATGATTCCTAACTCTCTTGCATATCCGGTGGTTCACATGCTCACCTCCCAATGAGATGAGTTCTGTGAGGAGATGCATGTAGAGACTCTTGTTCACTATGGTCTTTTTTTGGCCATGGTCACCATGAGGGACAACCCAATATAGAGTCCTCCCTTTCTACCATGTTGGCTCCTGGTCCACTTCGTTTTACCCTCCGATTCCCAACCTGCCAGGCCTGGGAGTATACTTCCTCTTAAGAAGCCATGTTAGACTGCTATAGCCCCACAAATCTCCACATGGATGATTTCAGTTACTGAATAGATCCTTTCAGAATGATCCTCAGTATTATACCAGCAATGACAGCTGTGTTTTACCAAACAGTTTTCAATTCAAGCTCCTTTGCTTTGTTTTCATTTCAGATTAAAACCTCAGTTATTTGGGCAACTCCAAACGTTTCCTTCTCAATCCCGTTATGGGTCATAATACTGGCAATACTTCTTGGATTGTTGGTTCTGGCCATTTTGACCTTAGCTTTGTGGAAGGTAAGTTGATTTCCTTTGTTTTTCTTTTAGCACTGCAGTGGTCACTGAGGGGATTTAGAAGGATATTGGGATTTTGAAAGAGAATGTTAAAGGCATAATTCAGAGATTTTGAAAGGTCTGAAAGACGTAAAGAAAAATGTATCTCGTTTGCTCTGTTACACAGTATGTGCATGTAGCTAATGTTTAAGAATGCAAGTGGCATTTAATAGTGTTTTAATCTTGAGATTTCTTGTAAAGAATAGAGCTAGGTTCTGTTCACTAAGATCTGTGATCTTTCCAATTTGCTTGGAGCCATAATGTTAATATAAACATTTCTCTTTCTGGTTTAATTAACCATGGTCTTAAGTTTTCCTATCATCCTATGATTAACCTTTTGAGATTTTTCATTATAAGCACTGCACTGATGTAGTTAATGTAGTCAATCATATTTTTTATTCTATTAATGAGATCAGATAGATCATACAATGTTATAAAGTGCTTAGACTTCCTTTTTAATCTTGCCTGTGAGTCTATCTTTTTTTTATGAAACTCAGTGCCTTCATAATAAACTACATCCCCAGCCTTTTTAATTTTTATTTTTTATTTGGAGACAAGGTCTCACTAAGTCACTAAGTTGCCTGGACTGGCCTTCAACTCATGATTCGCCTCAGCTTCCCAGAGTGCTGGGAAGGCCCCACCACACCCCGCTTAGTCTGTGTTTATTAGGAAGCATTCACTCAGTCTTTGATGTATTCTACTGAGGTTTACTCTACAAGAATACAATAAAAACTAGTATCTAGCTCAAAAAAGTACACAGCTGCCAGACTGCACAGGGCCTTCCACTCCAGATGCCAGTGTTACAATCACATGACTATAAAAGGAATTAATCCAGTTGTATATTAGTTAACCATTGCTGTCATGGTTCCCTAAAATTATAGCATATTTTTATTCTGAAACAATATTCAGGATGCTTAATAGACCTATAAACTAAGAAAACCCTGGTTTTGTGGTAAAGACTAGCTTTTCTAATTATTATCAGCTGTTTTGTGCTATTCTGAGCCCTCATAGTAAGTGGCATACATTTAGAAATGACTATTATGTTACTCTTTGTTTATAGGAACTACATTTCCAATGAATATAAGTTACAATCATATATTACAATTGACACAATAGTCCCCTAGCCTTGGAGAAGAGCCCATATTTGGTTTGAACAGGAGAAACACAAAATAAGAATTGAGGTTCCAGGGTTCTAGAAAAAGATACATTTTCCTTGGCAGAATACTAATTTCAAATTCAAGAGGGAGGAGACCCTAGAAATGTTTCTTCCCATGATTGGTGGTTAATCTGTGGAAAGTCACTGGAGTATTCATGCCTAATTGGTCCTGTCACTGAGATAAAGGCCAGATCCAATCTTCCTCTGTATACTGTATGTTCCACCAAGTACAGAGCAGTAAGCAATGGTCTCCTCATTTCTTACCAAGGTCACCTGAGGTCCACAGCAGGAGACAGTGTCCCCTTTCTGGTCAGCAGTTAGTGTTGTTCAGCAAATTGCAGAGAGCAGAGAGGGAACTCTGAGATACATTGCTGGAATTCCAAAGAAATACCTAAGATCTGTGAGTGGTCTGCATAAAACAGGGACATTCAGATAGCCTGGTGTAGTGACACACACCTGTCACCCCACTATACTAGGAAGCTGAGGCAAGAGGATTGCAAGTTTGAGTCCAACCCAGGCAACTTAGCAAAATCCTGTCTCAAAATAAAAGGGAGTGAGGGTGGCTGGAGATGTAGCTCAGTGTGATGGCTTTGTATTCGATCCCTATTACCACAAAACCCCAAAAAGATAGAGACATTCTACCACTACTGCATCATGGCCACTAACAAACACATTATGTGCCTCTCTTAATTTGGAGAATTGAACAAATTACAGTCACAGAGCTCCAAGTTCCTCAGAAAATATATAAAGTGAACATTCTTCAGGTAAGAGGTTTGACTGAATCCTGTAATCTGTTTTTCTTTTTCACAGTGCGGATTCTTTGACAGAGCAAGACCTCCTCAGGATGACATGGCCGACAGGGAACAGCTGACCAGTGACAAGCTCCCAGAGTCATGACAAGGAAAACCAAAGACCTTGTTCAAAGAAAAGGAAGGACAAAGGGGCTAAATAATAACAGCTTTCCTATGCCTGCCAGTGACCTAGGTAATGGAAAGGCCCTAAGATTATCACCTCATCTACGTTACCCTTTGGGGAAGGAAGTTTCCGTGGAGCCCAGAGGACCCTCTTGGAAATGGGAATGGCAACACTAGAAGCAATCTGTAGTGCTGGAAAATTTCTTTGGCTTTCATCATTCCATACGGGGTGGACATACTGAAATGGGCATGGAAACTTAGCCAGGTAAATCCAGCTTGAGTTGCAAAGATGAGATATCTGAATTACTGCAGAATTTAGAGGGTGAATGAAGACTGAACTTGTCCAACACTACTGTATCCAACAGAACATTCGACACCTCCCTATGGAAAAGAAATGTTTCTAATGGTGCGATGGCTCAGGGAGACAAGCAATATGTTGTTGGTACTGTAAAGTACTCTTGAAGAGACAAAGTAATTTTGTGAGTGAGGATGACATTTTATTTATTTATTTTCCATTTTTCTAGGTTGAGATTCTGGTTGTCTAGAGGATTTGGAAACTAAGATTTGCTTAGCTAGTGTTCAAAATCACTTCATTCCCTTCCTATGATAACCACTTTGTTCAGATAACTCATTTAACAGATTTTCAAAATTTAGACAGTATTAAGGAGAAGCAAATTGGTATTAGGAATTAATTTGCTGAATGACTTGCTTCTTTCTACCTGAAATTACACTTATTTACACCATCCAGACACTCACATTTGCTCAATTTAGCTTTATAAAATGTTGCATTTATATTTCCATATATATATATATATATAAAAATCTTTCCACTGAGTTAGTTAAAATAGGAATTTCAAGGTACTCAGCACTCTGTGTGGTATTTAAAAGTAATAGTAAAATGTCTAGAGTCCATTAATGAAAAATTTAAAATTACAGGTAAATATTATTTTCATAGTTAAAACAAGCAGCACCAATACTTAGCTTGGAATTAAATACTTATTTTTTCCTGCTACACCTCATACTTAGCTTCACAGTGAAAACATACTGAACATAAATAGGTTGGAAACATAATCTATAGGTGTGAAACACACCTAGACAACTAAGTCCTAAGGATTTTTATTTAAAATTGCTTATTCCAACTTTGTTATTCAGTTTTACTGCTAATCTTTACAGTACAAAACTTTGGAGAATAATCTTTTATTTAAGCTATTTTTTCCTTCATTTTAACTTAACCACCATTAAAAAGTATTGTTTAAAACCCTTGTAAATAATCCATAATCGTGTATAATATTATTTGGAAGAACAACTGAGCAGCCAGATCCATAGGTAGTCTGCACAATTCTGTATCCTTTTTATAACAATGAAAAATTACTATGAAGAAATGCTAAACAAATTTTTATGTGCAATATTTTATAGAACTATGTATCTACGGCATGTTTACACTGGCATTAGTTATTTTTAAATGAATATCCTGAATACTAAGTATGATAAAACAAACTGACCAAGACCCTTAAGTTTACAAAGCAGTTGGAAAAATCCGTGTCCCAGTTTCAACAATCACACTTTATTTGAAAGATGAACCAAACTCACAAACACTCGATTTTATGTGCCTTACCCTGGAGAGGAGCCATTTGGCTTCAGCCGCGGAACCTCATTGGAAAGCGAGCCAAAGGAAACATAGAAGATCACGCGTTTGCACTTCATCTTCTTCCCGCTTGTGAATTAACCGCTGCCATGGTAGCTGTCTGGTGCCTGTCAGGAGGCGAATCCTCACTCCCACTCTGCAGGTCTGATGATGATGAGCATAGCACTTGCCTCAAAGAATTTAAGGGTCCCACACCAGCTCCTAGGTTTCCTTTGTTGGTCCTCTAGGTAGACCAAACTTTACAGGTAGGTGATCCTCTATGTGATATGATTTGAGGAATGCCGGACAGCTCTATCTTCTCTCGATAATGTCCTAGTTGTTGTCATGCCAGAGTTATGACCAAAAGAGATTAGCTCCTTGGGATCTTTGGTCATAAAAGTTCCCTGAGGGAATACATTCTTTGCCTTTAAGATAGTATTGTGAAGCAACTCAGAAGTCACAGAGCCAGTCATGGAGACCTCAGGAGAAAGTTGCTAAAGACACCTGGAGGAAACTAGAGATACCAGAGGAAGACAGGGACCCAGAACACAGCAAAGCATAGGGGCTTCCCAAGTAAACCATGCCTTCCCAGTCTCAGCCGAGAGAGATCCCTTGCTCAAGGGCACTGTACTACAGGGATTGTCGGGAACCATCACACACAGGCATGCACCCTTAGAATGGGGGGCCAAGCGGGGGGAGGGAGAAGACTGAGGTCAGGTGAGCCCTCCCGTGAAGTGTCCCACATCCCCTCCACATGAAGAAAACAGACACCACACTGAGGGTACAAAGCGAATGGTATTGTCCATTTCTTTCCTAAGTCATAATGCGCTGAGCTCCTCCTAGTGCCTATCTGTATTTCTCTTCAAATAATTTCCTTTTCCAATTCTTGCAGCTGGTTTTTAGGACACAGGAAAATGGGCAAATTAGTTTTATAAACTTGGACATTTCTATATAGCAAATAAGTAACATGTACTAGTCACCACTGAAACTCTAGAACTCTTAGAACTTAACTCTTGCTTTATTTAAATACATGTGCAGATATCTGTGAAGATTTTTGTGTAACTATTTACCTTGTCACTAATAAAATTAAAATTTAAAGACACCATGGCATTTTTATGGTTTATTTTATGTGCAACATAAAGCTTTCTTCTAATGGCCAGGCATCAAAGATTGCAACCTTTACACTCTGGTTCTTTATTATGAAAACATTTAACACTGGAAGATATTTGCAAGTGCAAAATTAAGATACTCCTTGAATGATGAAAATGATCTGCAGTTAGATTGTGGTGTCATAGTCACACCACTCATTGAGTATACTGAAACCTATTGAATCATGTAGTTTGCACAGGTAAGTTTGTGGTGTGTGAGTCATATCTGAATAAAGAGGTTAACGAGTTACTTCTAATACTTTCCCCCTTTTACAACTGATTTGTCCACATTGTCTTTTGAATTGTGTCTACGTGTACATCTTAGCTCCTTTATGAGGCCTCCTCTTATACCTTTGCCCAATGTCCAGACTCCTGCTGTTTTCCAGTAGCATTTTGTAAATTTCTACACTTCTCCATCTGTTTATGTGACTGTCTTGCACCCTTAGTGAGAGCAGGAAGCACATCTTTTCAGCTGTGTGCTTCTCATACCTAATAAGCACACCTGGTTTATAGTCAAGGCCAATGTCCCACTCAAATTCTTGAATGAAATAAGTTAATATACATATATACATGTGTGTATAGTAATAATTCTGGTTAACACGTACTTTTATAACCCACTTCCATTACTAAGCACAAGAGTACAGACAAATATGTGCACTGTCTCTTATTTATAATGCTCATAAAATGCTACTACAGGTTAAGCATCCTTAGTCCCAAAACCCCAGATCTGAAATGCTGCAGAACCCACCGTTATGTAGCAAGAAAATTTCACACTTGACTTTGTGAAGAATCACAGTCAAAACACAGACACACTAAAATATTGCATAAAATTACTACAGGCTATGTGTGAAAGGTGTACATGGAACATAAGTGAAATTCTTGTTTATACTGGGGTATATACTGATCCCCTCCCTAAGATACCTTATTGTGTACAAATATTCCAAACTCTAAAATAATCCAAAATTGAAAACATTTTTGGTCTCAGCATATTGGTACCAGGTATTACTACCAGATACTCTATTCAACTGCTTAATCATCTCCCTCTTGTTGGGAATAACTGTTCACAGCTTCCTACTTAAGGAAATTGATGTATTGAGTACTTCCCTACGTGTGGCTTCCTTTTATTTATTTCAGTAAGTGAACTACATGAAGATGTTTGTTGTTCTTAATACTAACATGTTGCTCTTAAGAGCGTGAAATCTATTTGCATCAACCTAAATGTACTGTTTCCTTCACAAGTTTGGCATCATTATTTAAGTGATTTGGTCACTGTTTCCAAATGCTGTTTCATTTTAATTTATATTTCATTAGAATTCAGCAAATTTAATGTATGCATTTCATTTTGAGTTCTAATATTTATCAGACACTTAATACAGACCATTCTTCGTCTTATAAGATATTTAGATACATGCCACTTCCTTAGCTGGCATTCATGAATCTACTAAAAAGAAGCTACATTTGAGTCCCTCTCTTTATATGTTATGTCATTTTTACCTTAAAGCAAAGATATATCTAAGGGCTTATGGTCTAGAAGTATCTGAGTATCCCTGAGGAAAATACACAAAATTGAATCTAAGATTCAGCAAAATCGGTGCTGAAGGTCAAAGTGCAAATAAACAACCCAGCACAAACTAGATAGACTGTGTGGGGCTAGGCTTGCCTGGAGCACACAAAAGAACCATCCTGGATCAGACCTGCTAGTTACATACTTCACTGTTTGTGATGCAGAAGAAGAAAAACTCTTACTGGTCTTTCATAGAAATAAATGCTTTGTAGTTGTACATATGGGTAGAAACTCAGCCTTCTCAACAAATACTGTTAATATCTTTGCCACTTACAACCACTTTATGTGTAAATAGCTGAATCAATGTTTACTTTCTAAATACTGAGGTTTGGGGTTCTAGGTGAGCAAAATGAGATAAGGCTCCTTACTACACTTGCAGATTAGCTTTATGAAGGAGCATTCTGGTGCCACTGGGAAGAGCTAAAGCATGAGGACATTGGTCTGATATTCATGAATATTAAGACAGTGCCTCCCAAAGGTCTAATGTTCTTTTCTCAAATATAACAGATTTTCTTTCACAGAACTCTGATTCCATTAAAATGTTGATTTCTTTAGCATGCAAAGCCTAATGCACTGAAACTTTAGCCTCTTTTGGAAGCTGAGCAGAACCATGACTCCCCTCGTGATACTTAAATCAGTGGCAAGTTCAGAATGGCCAATGTACATAGGTCTAGCTCTGCATGCCAGATGAAACATTCCCACCCACAACCAAAATACCATCTGCCCAATGTACCACCTTTGCAATTATCTCTTAGCAAGTTCTGTTCTCTATGACTGGTGGCCAAAATCCACAAAGAAATGAATTCTGATACTAGGGCCTCTTGACAACAAATAATCTTAGCTTTAACCTCTTTTAATGCCAAGATGTGACACAGCGGTGATATTTTTAACATTTTGGTGAAGTTGCTAATTTTTGACTGTGTCTTATGCTGCAGAATTGTCAGCACAGAACTGTCCTGTTATCCAATGGTTAACTGAGGTATTTTTAAGTAGTAAATAACTGTGGGATTCCTGGTTTTAAAGTTTTCGCTTTCAACTTTTATCCACTTAGGTAACTATAGGATAGATAGAGGTATTGGTGGAGCCATGCTTCTTCTGAAGGTACCGGGGAAGTCCCTGTCCCTACCACTGTCCCAGATTCTGTTAGTCTCAGATGTTCCTTAGCTTGCAGATACATGCTGTCTTCATGGGCATGTAGATAAGGCTCCTGAATGTCCCCATATTGTCTTCCCGCCGCATGTGTCTTGTCATGTCCCCCCTTTGTGAGGATACCAGTCATGTTGAATTATATCCACTCTGGTGTTCTCATTTTAACTTGACTACTTCTACAGGAATCTTCTTCCCCAATGAGATCATATTGTGAGATATTGGGGTGTAAGACTTCAACAAATTTGGGGGGTACAATTCAACTCATGATAGCCTCATTCAAAAGCATATCATATAAGAGAGTCTGACAGATGAACCCAAGATGATGAAGTATATTTGTTGTGGGGTTTTTTTATTTAAAAAGAATAAAAAATAAGGAACAAAGCAATAAAAATGATGCAGAATTTCAAAACAAGATGATAGGAAATTAACAATGGTTGTTATAATGCATATTGTTTCTTCAAAATATTTGCTCAGATTACTGGATATAGGCATGCAAAATCGATCAAACAATTAGGCATCAAGTGTTCTTTCCAATAAACCAATAGAAATTAGTAGTATGATTATC